TCATATAAATGGACCTTGAACATCCAATGTAATACTATAAGAAAATGACTGACAGTAGTGGGAACTATGGTGTGGGGGGGAGGGAGATGGGATTAACGGTAGCAAACATCTGTCTGGGGACGGGGAAACACCTCTTATCAACAGGGTGCCTGAACGAAACGTATTTGTATACCTAACCCTTAACTGTACCCCACACTATCATAATAAAAAATATTGATTAAAAAAAAAAAGCAGAGAGCATTTGCTAGTCACTGGTGGAAGGAAAAGTCAGGGAGGTAGGAAGCAGGAAAAGAGTTTGATGCACTATTTCTGGCTTGAAGATGGAGGGTCCCATTGTTATTGATGCAAGCTTGGTCACTTGTCACCCAAAGCCAAACTCAAGGAAAGCAATTTTATTCCAAAAGCAGATAAAGAAATGGCTAGGCTCATGCCTCCAAGAAACCATTTCTGATTTTTAGGCAAATCATTAGAGTGCAAGAGTTTAAAAGGGGAAATGTGGTATGCAGGTGAGGCACCGGGCCTTGATTGCTTATCTTGGTTGGTGGTCCTCCCAGAGGTCTGTTTGGTGTTATCTCAGCTGCAGTCAGGTTATGGATCAATGATTCCCCTCAAGTGGGAAGGTTCCATAGGAGCTGTTTTAAGATTAGCCCCCCTGGAATTTCTAAGCAAGCATCTAGTCAGATAAGCATGCATGATGAAAGGAAGTTTCTAAAACATGTCCCAAGGTTTACGATTAAGAGGGAGAAAAAGAACTTTTAAAATACATGCTAAGGCTGAGATGCTGGGTTATACCACCGAGAAATAACAAGGAATGCAGCTAGCCTTTAGAAGTTGAGAGTTGGGGGTGGCGATCGGGGGAGGGGAAATCAGTCCCACAACTACAAGGAACTGAAATGTCCTCATAAATGAATGAACTTGGAAATGTATTTTTACCCAGTCTTCAGATGAGATCCCAGCTTGACTGACACCTGGATTTAGCTTGACGAAAAAGAGAACTCAGGCAAGCCTGCCCAGCATTTAACCTACAGAAATGTAAGCAAATAAATAGGTGTTACTTGAAACCTCTACACTTGGGAGGGCTATTTGTTATGCAGCAATTAAAAACTAATATATCTAAAAAATATGGATTATAAGATGATTGATGGCTTGAAAACATGCATCTCCAGGTTTCCCATCAGCACTGAGAGACCCAGGCACATCCAAGTCTAAGCATTGCTAGATTTGAAAGTCACTTCACAACTCTTCCCTGTCTTGATTAGTTAGTGGCTGGCCCATGGGGTCTATTCAGTTCCACTCACAATTTATGAGTTGGTTCACAGTCTTGCGGGTAAAACAGACATGAATTAAACACAGCAATGTTACAAGGTTTCACCTGTGATAAAAATAAATACATGATACAGTAAGAGCCCAACAAGAGGGGGGTTTGACCTATTCATTGGAGGCTGAGAAAGACTTCCCCGAGGAAATGAAACCTGAACTGTGATTCTAAGGTTGAGTAGGCAGGTATAAGGCAAAACAAAGAGGTCAAAAGAATGTTCCAGGCTAAGGGAGTGGCATGTGCAAAGGCTCTGAGTCTATTCCTGAGAGTTTCTCAGGTTGTGCTTCCAGACACATTTTGGGACAGGAGTCCAGAGAGACATGGTG